GTGTGTTTTTGTGTGTGTGTGTGTGTTTGTTATTTTGTGTGTGTGTTTGTGTGTGTGTGTGTGTGTGTGTGTGTGTGTGTGTGTGTGTTTGTTTTTGTGTGTGTGTGTGTGTTATCATGTCTTTATCACACGGTGACAGTTCTGGAGAAGTGTCGGATTCAGTGCTGCGCAGTTCTAGATCAGTGGCGCCACGTGGGAAGACAAGCATTATGTTCGCCTCTCTTCAGTCATGTCGTCACCATTGTGCATCCATTCTCCGAAATCCCAGATGATCCTACACCTGAAGTATCGGCAGTCGGCTATGTTCTACAGATAACTTGCACTCTCGCATTGGACGCAAAGCCGCTGAGCTCCCCCTGTAGATAGCTCCATCGATACCTTCTTGCCTTGCAGGGCAAGGGAGTGCACTCATCTCAGCCTCCAGGTGCGCAGAAGCGAGTTGTGCTCTTCGCTGAGTAGATTGGGGGTTTCCGAAAATAGGGGACCCTAATAGAGTACCCTAAATAATAGGATTCTTATTATAAGGACCCCAGAATAAGGTAGCCTAATTTTCGGAAACTCCCAGATAGCAGTTGAACCGACTGCTCTTTTTTTGCAAGACAAACCCATGACGGAACATTACGGGTGAACCCTATTCTCGCTACAGCTATGAAGGCCCTTGTAAATGTAGGGGCCTTAACAATTAGAATAAGGTTTTGGGGGCGGCTCCTTGTTATAATTATAGTAGACTATACCCCAAACCCTATTCTAATTATGAAGGCCCCTATACCCTAAACCCATGTAGTTGCCCTTATAGAACCCTTTAAGGAACCCTTTAAAGAGCCCCCGAACCCTATTCTAATTATTCAGGCCCCTTTTTTATGAGTCGGATTCGTGCGAAGGGTAAACCCTAAACCCTAAACCCTAAACCCCTAAACTAAACCCTAAACCCTAAACCCCTAAACCCTAAACCCTAAACCCTTTGGTCGCACAGCCAAGGCGCACGAGCTGAGGCAGCGGAGAAGTCTCTCTTGGAAGTCGCGCCAGGCGCCTGCTGCTTCCTTTTTAGGCATAAGGGTATTGGGTTTAGGGTTTAGGGTTTAGGGTTGCTGCTTCCATTTTGGGAGCTAGGATTAGGGGGACCCTTGGGCATATAGACCCTCTCAATGAGGTCCCTTTTAAGAGAGCCAAAAGTAGGGTTCAGACGGGGTACCCTTTAAGGGGTACCCCTAATAATACTACCTACCATTTTAGGTATAGGGTAATTAGCTTAGGCTTTAGGACGAATTTTGGGTTTCGGGTTTAGGGTTCAGGTTTTTGGGTTCAGGGTTAGGGTATCTTAACCTACCACAAGTAGAACCGACATTTGTTCTGCGGGGATTTGGAAAAAAGATGCTGTAAAGAACTCTTCTAGGGGCCCTCCAAACACGCAACCCGTCGCGGGCTGTGCTCGAAGGCGCACGCGATTTGTGTTGACCCAGATTCATGGTTTGTAGCGTTAGCTCACGATATGAAATGCCCCTAAACCCTAAACCCTAAAAACTAAACCCTAAAGCATAAACCCTAAAAACTAAACCCTAAACCCTAAAAACTAAACCCTAAACCATAAACCCTAAAAACTAAACCCTAAACACTAAACCCTAAAAACTAAACCCTAAACCATAAACCCTAAAAACTAAACCCTGAACCCTAAACCCTAAACACCAGCGTTTGAAACGGTTAGTCACCAGATCCGGAAGCCAAATCCTAGCACAGACCGTTCGTGAAAGACTATCCCTGCGGTTGATGGACAAAATGGGAGTTTCCGAAAAGAAGGGGTACCTTTTTGGGGGCCCTTACAATAAGGATCCTACTATTTGGGGTGCTTCATTAGGGTCCCCTATTTTCGGAAACCCCCCAATTCTGCATGACCCAGATATAGTATAGTACCATAAATCCCATAGTTTAGGTATGTAAGGTCATGCAGGATTTTGTCCATCAACAGTGTCATACTGATTTTACAAAACTCGCTGTTTGCGTGAAGGAACTTGTAGCCTTCCCCTGAACCCTAAAATTGTTAAGCCCTATACCCTGAACTCCCTAAACTACCCTAAACGACCCCAAACCCCCCTAAAAACGACCTTAAACTACCCTAAACCCTAAAGCCTAAACCCGAACCCCAAAGGCCGTTGGTTGCCTTGAGCCCTCGGCTCCGTGCCAGGCAGCAACGTCACTTCCGTGGCCTGCGACCTTCAAAGCTTCGACAGCCTCTTGGGGAAGATGCGGGGCTTTTGGTGTAATAAAGAAGCCTAAATTACTGTTGGGGGGTTCCTCATTATAGTAACTTTATAGTAATACTATAGTGTTGGTTACATTACTATTGGGTTTTTTTATTATAGTAATACTATGGTGTTGGGCTGGAGGGTGAAGGGTTTAGGGTTTTGGGGTTCAGGGTGTAGGGCTTCAGGGTTTAGGGTTTATTGTTGTTTAGGCTCTTCGAGCATTGCTCTTTCTGCTTCTGCATCCACTCAGGATTAAGGGATCAGGGCTGTTTGATCTTCTTTAGAGTTTGGCATTGCTGCCTCTCTCTGGTTATTCATCCACAAGCCTTTCGCCGAAACCGCGCAGACCATCGAGCCTTGATCTCGCATCGTAGACTCAGCCGAAAGAGATTTCTAGAGCAAAACCCCTGATAACACTGATAGTACTAGTAATAAGAACAACCATAAGAATAGTAAGTAGTTAAGAATAAGACTAGCCCCTAAACCCTAAACCCTAAACCCTAAACCCTAAACCCTAAACCCTAAACCCTTACTGTTACTAGTTTAGCAAAAAGCCGAGGTGTGAAAGAGGCAGCTACCACGCTGAAGTCGATGCCTCCCGGCCGACAGGAGCGAGTCCTTCAGACGCTGGTTTAGGGTTTAGGGTTTAGGGTATCTTTGGTGGCTTCAAACCAGCTAAGAGCCCAACATAGAGGCCGGGGTATAGTACTACTGTTGATGATATAAATCCTGCAATTCCCAAAGGACCCTAAATGCCATGGGAATCATGGTCCATTCCTTAAAAAATGGGTAATGCAGGATTTAAACCATGAATAGTAGGAACAGGGTTCCCGTGTGGTAGTTCGAGTAGGAAATCTCTCAGACCTTACGTCTAGGACATTTTTAGGTGGGCAGTTACTGTCATAGGAGCCTTATAGAAGGTCTATGTACCTTATGGAAGCCTCATAGAAGCCCTACAAACCCGAAACTCCCCACCTAACCCTAAACCCTAAAACCCTAAAACCCTAAACCCCTATACACCCGAAACTCCCCACCTGTAGTTTCCTATAATTAAGGCCCCGGAAGGATGTTCAAAGCATCGGGGCCTTGGCAGGGCCTTGCTCAGGACGAAGACGCTTCACGTAGGGGCTTCAATAATTTTTACCTATACTATTTTGGGGGTTCCTTATTATGATTATAGTACATTTTGCCTAAAGAAATTGCCTCTACTATTTTGGGGGTTCCCTATTATAAGTATGGTATTTTGGGGGTTCCCTATTACCCAGAGACTCCAAAACCCCTTAATTAAGGAATATACCTTGAATTATACTTGGATCCCAAATATGATTTAAGGTATATTCCTTAATTAAGGGGTTTTGGAGTCTCTATGAAGAAATTGCCTATACTATTCTGGGGGTTCCCTATTATAAGTATGGTATTTTGGGGGTTCCTTCATATAGTTATGGTACAATATACCCCCAAAACCTTAGTCTGAGTATTAAGGCCCCTATATTAGTCGCTGCACGTTCTAAGGATTGAGGCCCCGATGTTTCAGCTAAATTTCGTTGTTGCCAGGCACGCGCAGGCCTCCCGCAGTCCTGCAACCGAACGCATAAACATCTGTCTGAATTCTCTACTTCTTGCCCATCGAGACATACTGGTTCGAATGGCAAGCATCTGAAATCGCTCGTAGATTCCAGGTTTGCCGACAAAGGCCACGAAGCTGCAACAGGAGTTGATCAGAGTTTCCGCAGGCAGGTGTGGATCAGGAAGTTCAGGGCATGTGTTAAGCTTGCCTGTTCAGACTTTCGACCGTTCTCGGACAAGCTGCTGGCCAAGCCTGACAAGTTCGAGGCAAAACAGCTCTTCTGTAGCCGGAGCTCTTAAACTCTGAAGGGAGATCTTGCCCCTGATGTTGAGAAAACTGAGACACGGAAAACGGTCCAAATGCAGTCCGTTGCATCCTGTAGGGTTCACTCTCAGGCATTGATGTTCTTTGCAACAATGCCGGCGTCATGGCATTGGCAGACGAGGCGCCGGATAGAACGCCATCCCAAGGTTCACCTGTCTGCCCGGAGACTCCAATATCCCTTAATTAAGGAATATACCTTAAATCATATTAGGGATCCTAGTATAATTTAAGGTATATTCCTTAATTAAGGGGTTTTGGAGTCTCTGGGTTCTGGGTCCCCCAAGCTTGACAAAAGGCCACTGATTCGACCGGGGAGTTGGCGATCTGCCTTCCTCCAGCCCTAGAGGCAGCCGCAAAGCACCACAATCAGAAATGTAAGGAAGCCCGTCTACTTGGAGGATCATGGGACTTAGTAAGTAAGGTTATAAGTCCCTTGATTGGGGTTATAAGTATAGTTACCTTAGTTATCACCCTACTTACTAAGTCCCATGATCCTTTAAGTAGGGGTGCCCAATGCCCCGAATTGTCCGACACTGCTCATGGGTACCCGGACGCTCACAAGCCTTGCTACCTTATTGTTGTATACTCTTCGCCTTTTCTGCAAGTCGTCTCTATTGCAGCTCCTGCCCCCAAACATACGTGCAGAAAGCAACGGCCGTGCAGTTGCAGAGCTCGGTGATTCCTTGAAGAGGCCACGAAGGACGGCTACGACGTGCAGATGCAGAGCCTTGCACTGCAATCACATGGAGACCTTAGACCCTTGAACTGCAACCCTCGACACCCTACTTCCTAAGTCCTTCAACCTTGAGAGTCTTGAACACTAACACCCTAACCTTGAAAAGCTTTATTTATTAAAGCACATAGTTCCGAAACCCCCAAACCATGGAATCCGGAAACCTCTCCAAGTAACATACCTATAGGTTTTTGGGGGGTCCTTACTATAATTATAGTATAATGGCCCCCAAAACCCTGTTCCAAGTATTGAGGCCCTTATATTACCACATAATCTCTCTGAAATCCCTCAGGCTTGAATCCTAATCCTGCTTCAATCGCGCGGGCGTGTATCGTAGTGCTCGAATCGGCGCATGAAGGTGTGATGTGTCCTAGAGGAAAGCTGAGGGGTTACTTAAAAATAATTCTTCATCTTTGGTGCTTATAATTTATTACCCTAAAAACACAGCTCAAATTGTAATTTGTGCTAGAGTTCTAAGTTCAGTGTAGAAAAGTGGAGGCCCTGGATGTCGAAGTGATAGAGATGTCGTCGCCTCAGCACCTGAGGACCAATCATTTGTCGCACTTCCTCCTGACCAAGGAGCTCTATCCACTTCTCGAGAGACTTGCAAAGCATGGTTTAGGGTTTAGGGTGGAGCTCTATCCACTTCTCGAGAGACTTGCAAAGCATACCGCCATGTCACAGGTCTTTGCAACATTCTGACAACCTGCCCTAAACCCTAAACCCTGTGGCACAGGTAATCTATCTGAGTGCGTGACATTCACACAGGGTGCACTTCTGCAGTCGCCTAAGCTTCGACCTGCTCCATAGTATCTCATATTTTAATGCGTGAGCTGATATTATATTGTGTTCTGTTGTATACGTATGTGTATATATATATATATATGTGTGTATATATATATATACTAGTTTTGTACATATATACATATACACATCTTTACATATATTTAACAGCTGAGGAAGGCTGCGCAGGAGCGGGGCGATGCGCGGATCGTGAATCACTCCTCAGGCCAGTCGGAAATGGGGGTTTCAGCAAATAGGGGACCCTAATATAGTACCCTAAATAGTAGGATCCTTGTTATAAGACCTCCCAAGTAAGGTACCCCCTGTTTTCGGAAGCTCCCAAATACCTTCGAAAGTCATAGTATGAAATCCTGCACAAGTATACATGCCTATACTGCAGCTGTGCTTTTCCTGAGGTTTCCTGGTTCTTACACTATATTAAATATGTCTTCAGCATTGTGCGTGGACCTTCGTATTATTTTTGGATGGGCCTTCAAATCGCTGGGAAAAGACCAGAGTACACCCCAGGCGCGCGGAAGTTTCCGAGCAAAGAGCTGGACGCAGACTACTTGGGGAAGTGCCTCGGCCTATCGAGGCCAGCCACATCAGGTCGCGCAGGTCTGACGATGTTGATTCATAGCGTCATTTCGGAATGTAGTTGCTACGTATGGCTGCTCTGATGTAAGGATTCTACGCGAAAATTCAGATGTTCGAGGCGTAAGTGGGTGCGAGGGTCCTGGTTTGTGAGTGTGGTCAGGTGTCAGAAGGCCACCCTATCAAAAGGACAAGGCTTTCAACAGGGTCGTGACCTGGACAGTTCGAGTTTGATACACAAGAGCTCCAGCGTTTCACTGCCATGGGCATTTGTGTCGAGGAACGGCGGCAGCTTGGGCGGCAACGGCAACTCAATGTTCTTCGGCGGTGCTCGCTGGCAGAGGCAAGGCATAATGCTGGGACGGAGAACAGAAAGGCCGAAAGGCAAAGTGATAGTCGTCGTTTTGATCTTCTTGGGGCAGCAACAGTTGTAGAGGCAGGATTAGGACCATCTGTTCAAACATTGGGGCTGCTGCCGGTTGCACAAAGGCAGTCGCGGTCCATGAAGGCCGACTATGACATCGCTGTAAGTATCAGGAGGGAACGAAAGCACAAATGAATTACAGCGACAATCATCAAGTGCAACAAAGGCAGGTGCTCCATACATGTCGGCAAACGCCATGATGCCGACGAGCGAGAGCCTCGTCCTGAAGTTTGACCGCGAACCTGAAAGTTGAAGTCATTGGCACAGGTACCATCAGACTAAGCTGGCCAATGCAGTCTTCACCCTGGCTTTGGATGAGAGGCCGCAGCAGAGTTGCTGGCACGGTGTGGGCGGAGGACTAGCTGGTAGAGCGTCGACGGGCCGAGTTTCAATGATTGTGCTATCAAAAAGAGTTCCTGACGTTTTACCCTTAGCCCCTCATGGTGGGCAGCTTGTTCTGCTTGAGAAAGCAAGAGGTGGATTCGCTGCGAGCGGTATGAAGTCATTGTGAGACGAAGAACAGATACTGCGAGTCGCTACCACTCTTGAAGCCTCATGCTTTCACAGTTTGTGCGCAGGCTCCGGGCAAAGAATTCCAAGGTGAAGGCTCGTCACTTCTCCCGCAAGCACAGGTGGTGATGGATGTTGCCTCTATGACGCTAGAAGCACTCCGAGTGAAAGACAGGTGTCACGAATTTCAGATTGAAGGCCACAGCCGAACATACTTGGAGGCGTGCGTTGAAGCCTGCTTGCGCAAGAGGGCGAAGCAGCCATCTTCTTCATAACCAGGTGTCCCTTTCTGACTGCATCTAGAAGACTGAAGACATATCATGTAACAGGTATGGTGGGGGGTTCCGTTCCCAGCTTCTGAACTCTCACCCCGCGGTTTTAAGAGACCTCCATAAAAGCCTTGGAAGCCCCGAGAAGTGCGCAGAGCTCCTGAATCCCAGCCCTGCTTTAATATAGGGACCTTAATAATTAGAATAAGGTTTGGGGTACATTATGCTATACTTATAATAAGGAACCTCCCCAAAAAAGTATCGACTAGGTTTTTGGCCTCCCCAAAAAGTATAGACCAGGTTCTTGGGGTACATTATGCCATAATTAGAATAAGGAACCCCTAAAATTTTATTCTGCTTATGGATGTCAGCTTCCAGAGGCCCTTTGTGCTGCGCCGGGCCTGGCTGCAACCAATCTGCAGGCCTCACAAAAAGAGGGGTTTAGGTAGGGATCCCTCGTACCCAGAGACTCCGAAACCCCTTAATTAAGGAATATACCTTAAATTATTATTATAATAGGAGCCCTAATAAGATTTAAGGTATATTCCTTAATTAAGGGATATTGGAGTCTCTGGGTAAAGGAAATCCCTTAAAGGAACCCCGAAAGGAATCCTTATAGATCCCTTGAAGGAGCCCTTATGAGTTCTGTGTTGAGGGTACTCTGATAGAGCGGTGAAATTGGTTTCGTGGTGTTGGGTTTGACATTTTCGGGTCTGCACTGCTTCTGTTGTGGGGCAAACCAAAAACGTCTGGTATTTTCCTGTGGCAAAGGGCTTCGCTGCTGACTACGGCCAACTGCCATGGTGTCATGCTTGAAATGCGAGTACCCCACGCACCGCAGGTAACTACGAATCAGGCGGATGGCTTCAACGACGCGTGGATGATGCGCTTCGCGCAGTCTGGGGAAGCACCTCAGACATTGAACATGCGCAGGAGGTTTGCGGAAACCCACAAAAAAGCCAGCCGCGCCTTCATGTGGCAATGTAGCTCTGTGCAAACGTGAGCAATTGCTGTGGTTGGGAGCGGAGGCGAGTCGTCGTTGTGCCCAAGCATCGTCTGATCGTGCCAGCGCGCTTGTTGCTGTCATCACTAGTTGTGGCCCTTGAGTGGTGCTTCAACGATTCTGGGTAGTGCCTAGGACCATGGGTCTTAGATGCAATGAAGTTCTTGCTTTGAGGATGGGACCATGCCGCTTCTCACGTGCTGCGTTGGAGAAGGCCAGCGCAACAAACCCTAAACCCTAAACCTAAACCCTAAACCCTCTCCGAACATTTAATCGTCGCAAGTAGCGAAGTCTAGATCGGCTGCGTGACCACAGGGGAGACATGAGAGGCCCTGTCTGCAGGTGGAAGTGCCCACCCAAAGCCAGTTTCTACAATCGTCTACCTCCATCTCCGGAAGAGTTTGAAGCGTTTTGGGGCGTGAGACCAGCATTGGGTCTCAAAGCATGCGAATCGTGGAAGAAAAGTCCCCATGTCAACCTTGAATTGGCAGAGTGCACAGTATGTCCACGTTGTTCAACGGCTTTGCCACTTCCCCTTCCCCATCTTGGTCCGGCTATTTTATTTGTTGAGGTCGGATGCAACACATGTCGCGTAGAGCCTAGCAAGCCTCCGGATCCTATGATCTAGGACACAACACCCTCTACAGATCCTGAGCAGAAAGTTCATCCCTGAAGAGGCGTGCAGTCTGGTGAGTTCTACGAGCCGGATGGCATGGCAGCTATGAAAGGCAGCTCCGAATGGAAGGGAAGCAGAAGTTCGGGTTCGGATTCATCTATCTCAACCCTAATATAGGGGCCTTAAGAATTAGAATAGGGTTTCGGGGCCCACTATACTATGATTATAATACGGAACCCCCAAATAGTATATTTGTTCAGAAATTGGTGCAGAAGGTTTCCCTTAGATGCTTTGCTTCGAATCTTCTCGGATTCTGCAGACTCCCACTTGTTTTGGGACCCACCTCTCAGTGCCGAGCCGAGGCTTTAGAGGCTAACTCACCACGAAGCAGTTTCGCAAGTCATGCCTGCGTGGTAAGAACCTGTACCAGCTGTGAGCTTGAGCTTCGTGCGAACATGCATATATGTTAATATCAATGTTTAAAGTTTAAGAAGAATAATTTGAGAAGTATAAAATTGATATTACTCAATTTTCTATAGCTATGCCCGGCTATGCTTCGATCCTCGGTGACTGTCCGATATCAGGGAAGCTCTCGCGACATGTCAATGAGCTTGCAGAAAAGAGGGGCCTGAATAGTTCATAGGTATAATATAATTCTAATAAGGAGCCCCAAAATAGTATTGGCAATTATTGAGGCTTCTACATTAAAACAGCGCATCTGACGTGGAAGGCAAGCCGACCAAGATTGACTTGGAGCCCATCTGCACAAAGCCGGAGTCCAGAAACATTCTGTGGCATCTTGATGAAACATGTGGTGCGAACTTCCATGTGCGATTCGCGAAGGGGTTCATGGCGAGTTCAACTTATAATATGACTTTGTGACGGCTTCATGCAAGCGCACGGTCGCGAAAACAGGTGTGCATTCAGCGGGAAAGCGTCTTCCATCACATTCCCAAGCCATTTGCAGCTTCAAGGGCCCAGCGTGCCACAGAAACTAAGGCAAGAAAGCGAAAAGGCATGCGGCGCCTTCAACATCGAGTGAGCCCAGACATGGAGGGGTTGTGTGTGGGGGGCGCCTCTCGCACCTTTTGCTCAGATCTAACCATCTGAATTGTTTACTTCCCGCCCGTGCTGCCTCGGCAAAGCCTGGCAGATTGTGGGATTTGCTGCAGTCAGCTGCGTCGCAGATTCGTGCTTCTGCAGTGCAGCATCGGCGGATTTCAAGTACAGTTGCGAAGGTACAGGCGCGTTGGAAGAGCATAAAACCAAGACAGACGAAAGCCACGGGACGTGTCCCACGTGCTGCCCAATCCCTGTGAATCCCATGCCCTGAAGCCAGATGGGAGTTTCCGAAATTAAGGGGTACCTCATTTTGGGGTCCTTATAATAAGGATCCTACTATTTAGGGTACTACATTAGGGTCCCCTATTTTGGGAAACTCCCAGATAGGCATCACGGTTGGGTAACTATGAAGGCCCCTATATTACCATAAGTCCTTTAATTAGGGTTATAAGTGTAGTTACCTTAGTGATAACCCTACTTACTAAGTCCCATGATCCTTTAAGTAGACCCTCCCTAAACCCTAAACCCT